CTTGTTTGACCAATGTACTGCAACAGTAACAAAAGACTTACAAGGAGGAGTCCTTTTCAGAATAATTTTGTTTACTTTTTAAAATAATTTTGAGTAGGTGTTCTGATTTTATACTGAACAATTTGTACAGTAGTTGACACAGTGTTTTCTTGCATCTGAATTTCTAACTGTATTTCAGATGTGCTCTATACTTCTTTCCCTCACTAAATGGGACATTCACTCTTGAAATAGTCAGTTACAAAATTTGCCTCTGAGTCTCTGCTATTATTGTTGCATTTTTCTGTATATATTGGCATACTTAAGTGTAAAGAGATGGATTGCATACAAGTGAAAAGGAAAGTAGCTGGAGACACATTTCTGTGAAATACATAGTTTTTAATCTTGCCCATCTCCTGCACGTTGCCGCCAAATGAATGGCGTTTTAACAAGCATGGAGCTTGTTAATTAGTGTTTTCCAGTCCTTTCTTTAAATTCAGACAGTTGAAATTTTAATTTTCACTGAAATTGAAGTTTTTCTTCCCACAAAACTTATCTTTAGAATATGAATTGTCTGTGAAAAATACACTGGTTTTTAATTTTTGTGTCAATGGGCATGTAAGGTCAGATAGATGACAGTTGTGAAGTCCCTCCTGAAAATGGTGGGACAGAGGTGAAAATTTCCTTGAATTTTATTGGTAGAAAACAAAACGTAAGTACACAGTACAATGGTGTAAGCTGTCTTAAACTTGCTTCTGCTTAGGTGAATGGTGTAAAGCAGTGTAAATGTCTCGAGGCTTTCACATGCCACCTCTATTTCTGATGACTGCAGTGATTTCTCTTACTAGCTTCTCTTTTAATATATCAGTATAATTGATCCCAGCCATTCTTTTTAAATGTTTCAATGTGTTAGTTTGTCTGCAAAATAAACCGCGTATATTCTTGTTTTGAGGATTCCAGTTTTCCATAACTCATGACAGTAATTGATGGAGTTCTATTCTTTAGTCCTGCTTTATTTTTCTTTGTTAGCTTTCAGATTTTTTTTATGCCTGCCTCTGTAGCACATCACCAATTTATTTTGTAAAGACTGCATGTAATGACCGTAGGACTTGAAACTTGTAATCTGTTTTTTCATGTTGTTGGGGGGGACCGTATCTCTTGCTCTTTCAGGTCCCAATTCACATATTTCTGTTCTTTATGCTAGGTTTGGTCGTTTTGGGTGCCTCTTACAGTTTCTGCATTTTTCTGCATTTGGTTGCGTGGAGTTTTGCTGATGTACTCAGTGATGCATAAGATTCTGGTTGTGCTAAGTGTGAATGTTTTATCACATCAACTGAATTTATAAAAGTAAAATTCTTTACTGGGATGTATTTTTCTTGTTTAAGAGACAAAGTGTTATGCAGAAAGTCAAACCTGCTTGGAACAAGAAAATCCTTTTGATAACTCTTGTTGTCCCAGAACTGTAGCTTGGTTAGTCCTCCTGCTCTCAGGGACAGCTCACCTGGAAAACTACTGAAATGGCCCATAGTCACCACCTGATGTTTTTCTAGAGCAAATAAAAGCAGAATGACTTTCTCCCCCAGTTTTATACTTGTCTTCTACGCATCTCCTTTAGATTTTCTCATTGAGATAGATAGATATAGATATATGACACTTGCATCCTGTGGCCAGAATAAAACAATGCCTGAATTTAACTATTGATTTTGTTCCATTTTAAACGCTTGTGTTATGAAAGTAGAGGACCCATGAGGAAGAGGAATGAGGCACCTTCTGTCTCTCTGATTGTTCTCGAGCACTGTTTCTTCAGTTGTGCCTTCCCTCCCCTTGTATTTCTTGTCATGCCTTAGCAGACAGGTATTTTGCTGGGTGCTCATAGTATTCACTTCCCATGTAGAACACTTTCAAAAAAATGGTGATCCTTCTGAAATGTTTGGCTTTATATATCTTACCTTGCACATTTTCAAAGTGTGGATAGTAGAACACACATGCATACAAAAAACTCCAGTTTAAGAAGCTGATTCTGAAGTCTTAGATGTGTTTCTCTGTCCCAAGTTTTGGTTGCTTGTTCTTAGCCAATATAATAAGGTAATATTTCTAGTCTTGTCTTCTTGTATTCAATGTAGTGCTTTACAGCCAGTTACGGTGGTCATCTTCCTCCTCCTTGCTTCTCATGAAGTTTTCATAGACATTTTCTTGGTTGCAGCCTTTCAGGGTATCACAGAATGGTAGGGGTTTGAAGGGACCTCTGTGGGTCATCTAGTCCAACCCCCCTGCTGAAGCAGGGTCACCTACAGCAGGCTGCAGAGGACCTTGTCCAGGCGGGTCTTGAATATCTCCAGAGAAGGAGACTCCACAACCTCCCTGGGCAGCCTGTTCCAGTGCTCCGTCACCCTCAGAGGGAAGAAGTTCTTCCTCATGTTCAGACGGAACTTCCTGTGCTTAAGTTTGTGCCCATTGCCCCTTGTCCTGTCACTGGGCACCACTGAAAAGAGCTTGGCCCCATCCTCCTGACACCCACCCTTAAGATATTTATAAGGTTCCCTCTCAGCCTTCTCTTCTTCAGGCTAAGCAAGCCCAGCTCCCTCAGCCTCTCCTCATAGGAGAGATGTTCCAGTCCCCTCACCATCCTCGTAGCCCTCCGCTGGACTCTCTCCAGTAGCTCTTCATCTTTCTTGAAGTGGGGAGCCCAGAACAGGACACAGTAATCCAGATGGGGCCTCCCTAGGGCAGTGTAGAGGGGAAAGAGAACCTCCCTCGTCCTGCTGGCCACACTCTTCTTGATGCACCCCAGTATCCCATTGGCCTTCTTGGCAGCCAGGGCACACTGCTGGCTCATGGTTAACCTGTCGTCCACCAGGACACCCAGGTCCCTCTCTGCAGAGCTGCTCTCCAGCAGGTCCACCCCAAGCCTGTACTGATGCATGGGGTTGTTCCTCCCCAGGTGCAGGACCCTGCACTTGCCCTTGTTGAACCTCATCAGGTTCCTCTCTGCCCAACGAGAGGGCATTGTATGTTGTATGGTACATTGTGTGCTCTTCTGTAGTTAGAGCTGAGAATTCTATTAAACTTCTAGAAATAGAAATTATTGAACAGTCTGAGTCATTAGGATCTTTTTATGGTTCAAAGAACTGTGGCATTAATACTGTCACTTGAGAACCAGACCTAGCATCTGTACTCTTACAATATGTTTGTGAAGGAGTGTGAAGTACTTTGATCGGTGTATTTGGTGATGAAATTCCTGATGTTGACCTATCTTTCTTCCTCTGAATAGGTTTTCTGTTTAGCTGCCTTAGTGTGAAGTATTATTTGGTTTGTCAGAGTTGGATAATGTGCAAATAGTTTTAGAACTACAGAATGCTTATTTCTTTGTTCTCCGGGTTGCTTCTTAAATGCTCCAGATAATCTGTTGTTGATTTTGATCAGTTTATGGCTGTTTGTGATTGTTTCCCTAACTCTTCTCAAGCACTCCTGACGCCTTGGCATTAATGCTGCGGCTGGAAACCTTGTGAACCTTGTGGTATGGATTTCTTCCCCCACCCCCCATTTTAGCGGGCATTGCTGTTGTGATGAGCAGGTGGAAGTGTTCTCTTCTTAGACTTCTTTCATTGAGGTTACTGTATGTTTTCCCTTTTCTTGCAGTTACTGAGCAGTTTAGTCCCTCCACTGTTCTGTTGAGTATGTCTTCTCTTACACACTTCTTTGATGAAGTGAGAAACTCAGCTAATGGTCATGCTTTTTATTTTTTGAAGCTGTACTGGTATCATAAGCAATCTGTGCGTGCTTTTAGTTGGTCACAAGTGGAGGATGATTGCAGTGACTTATTCTGTGGACGCTGCCTTTAAGGTTGCAAATAACCTGATCATGGGGGGGGGGAAAGAATTTGAAACAAAAGAAGCAAAATGGGTGGGTTGTGTCTTTAATATCTACCTGCAAAATCTTCCCCCCACCCTTCTTTTTGTTTGTCTCAACTTATAACTGTTCAGTAATGAAATAGGAAGTGAAACAATTACTTTAAATTTTTGTCTGTACTTACATGGTTGGCAGTAACAAGTCTCTTCTGACTCAGGAATTCCTTCATCGGTCATTTCACTTCAAATTTTATTAGTTCTGTATATCACAAAATTGCATCTCTTAATGGCAGGGAGTTTCTTTTGAACAGTTCTTCCAGTGTTACATTTGACAATCTTTGCTGTCTATGCCCTCTTCCCTTCCCCTATTTAGTATTTGTTTCCAGGAAGGTGTCACAGGATAATGTATTTTCTGTAAATTTTCAATGATCTGCTGTGCTTCGAAGTTGGTTTTTTTTTTTTTTGTTTCCCCTATTTCCTCCTCCTGCATATGGAATACATTGTCTATATCTAACACTACAGCACCAGCTATTCTTCAGCTCATCTTCTAGTTTAATAGTACCCTTGGCTATCATGTAGAGTTAACTTGTTATTTCAATCTTGCAGCATAATTCCCTGTAACTTTTAGGGTGAAGGATTTACATGTTGCAGCCACCCAGCAGTGGTGTTTGTGGGGGTTGTATTTTTCCAGTTCAATGTCAGCTCCATTGCAAGCTAGCAGCCAGGTTGTGTTCTGAGATCCGCCAGAAGTTGGGGGGCTGGATAGATGGGAATGCTGGAGACCAGGGAAAGGCTAGGACTGCTTGTAAAGGACAAAGGGTAGTGGTAAAAGTGGGTTGAAGATGCTGGGAGAAATCGTAGGGTGATACTGAGTGATTTGAGACTGAGAGGGAGAACTGGAGGGGGAAATGTGGTGGTGCTACGTAAATAGAGATTTTTTTGCACCTGTCCCTACGTGCATTCACAAAGATGCAAAAGGGACTGCCCCAACAACTCTTAGTGCTCAGCTCTGGGAAATTCAGTGTTCCGTGTTGGTGGAGTGCTACCATATGCTCCCAGGGTCGTCTTGGCTCTGGGTTCTACTTTTAACTTGATATAATTCACTGGCTTTTGAGTGGTAGAGTTTAGAATGTGGATACTTCATGTGGGTGAAGAATTGGTTTTATACTTCCTTAGATAACAACATGGTCTACTCTAGGCAGCAATGAGCATGTGTTTGCGTGCTGGTTGCTTTTTGACGAAAGGTGAGATTTACTGTATTCTTTGGCTGTTTCTGCTTTAGCAAAGGAAGTGGTTTGGACAGTAAATGGGTCCCATGCTGCTCTGAATTGAGCAAACATTAGTGGGAAAGTGTTATGACAATTTTTGTCATTATCAGTCTCCATAAATTTCTCCATCTTATATTATGGTTGATTAAAACTTTATTACTGCACTTTAATTAAGCATTTTATTTTCATTGGAATATGTTTTTCTTTATAATGTTTTTTTCTGTCTACTTGCTTGTATGAAAATTTGCTTGAGTTCTGTGTCTTCTCCACCCAAACAAACAAATAACTTTTGTCTTCCTTGTAGCAAACTGAAAAAGCTAAGTGAAGATAGTTTAACTAAACAGCCTGAAGAAGTCTTCGATGTTCTGGAGAAACTTGGTGAAGGGTAAGTGCAGCTATTTACGGGGGGATGGGATCAGGGGGAAACAGTATAACTTAGTCTTCCAACACATGCCTTATACAGAGGGAGTGACTATAAACGTCCTAAGGAATGCTTCTCTAGACAAGCTTTAATAATAAAGCAAATGCACACATCAGTAGACTTCAATGCTTCACCAAATATATTTAGGCATTTTTTGATGTCCCTTGTTTATTAAGGCAGCAAAGATGCTTGTGCCTGTACTGGAATTGGATACACTACATATTGACATCCTCTTCAGGGTCACGTCTTTCCTGAGGACCCAATAGAACTGAATTTTTTGCAGCCTGAAAAACCCTCAAACTTCTGCATGAACATCTGGCTTCTGTGACTTTTAAAAGTTTCTGCATAATGGAAATGAGTAGCAGTTGATCTTGTTTATAAAAAAAAAATTCCCTCTTTTGTTCCTAGGTCTTATGGTAGTGTATTTAAAGCAATACACAAAGAGTCTGGACAAGTTGTAGCAATTAAACAGGTTCCTGTGGAGTCAGATCTTCAAGAAATAATTAAAGAAATCTCTATAATGCAACAATGTGACAGGTAGGTATGACAATTCTGCTTCCTTTCTAAGAGCCTATGTGAAAATGTATTTGTACTTGCAAATATAGCTGAAATACATGCAGCTGCAAACTTCTATTTACATGAAAAATTAAAGCAGTCTATGTTGGATAATTTACTTAAAGGAACCACTTTGCGGGCCTTCTCCTGTCTTTAGCTTGGATTGAAGGAAGGACAAATAGTATACATAACGGAAACTCTTGAAAGAATAAGTACTTGCCTCTGCTTAGAATTCTCCATGCTCGCTTCACTTTACTTGCACTGGCAAGCCTGAAGGTTAGTATTTCCTGTAAATGTCTTAGGCCATGTGAATTCCAAGTTACGTTTTTCAGAAGATGGATAAAGATGTTTCTAGCACAAGGTTAATAGCTGGCAGTTGACTTCCCAAATAGTATTCTATTGGTTGCCTTTTTCATGCAGAAACATACCTTTTAAAAAGTGAACAATCTTCTGATAGTTCTGAAGGAGTGTTACCTTACACTTGTTCACAGACGTATCTTATGATTGCTAGTGTTGTAGGAATGGAAGCCTTAACATCGAATGTCTGCATGGATGTAGAAATTACTTTGGATTTCCTCTCTTCTGTGGAGTTCTAAATTTTTTATTTGTATATTTTTGGGGGATAATACTTGCTGGTTTTGGCTGTAACTTTAAAGTCAGATTTACTAGGGTGGGTCTTTATTCATGTCTGATCAGTGGTATAAGAGTCTGTGACTCAAAAGTGCAAACGGGAAAGCTTTGCACTCTAGGTGAAACTTGCTTTAAAATATTGCTTGCTTTAGTCATTAACTTGGTGAATTGTAATATAGCAAGTGGTCTGTTATTTCTCAATTGTGTTTGTGCTTTTGTGGTGTGTCAGTGTTGAAGTTCTGTCTTTAAATGAAAAATGCGTTCTTGTTTGTCAGTGAGCTGTAAGCATCCCAGATTTCAAGATAATACTTTTAATGCAGTCAAATTCATACACGTTTGTTGCTGAATGTTTTGCTCTGGTGTTAAATAGGGTTTGATCTTACTGTTCCCCAGCATCTTGTCTGTGGGGTCATGAAGGAGAAGTTTCAAGTATTTGTCCTTAAATGTGTAGATGGAGACCTCAGAGTGCATAGTATCTAGCACATGAGAATGCAGCTGTTCTTCAGACTTCTTTAGAACCTCTGCCTACAAGCCCTGATCTGAGTATTTTTGACCTATGAACACACTGGACCTTGTAATCCATTCCCTTCTGGCATGGACTGCTCTGAATACTAGGGGCTTATTAAATGTGGAGGCAGGGGAATGGGAGAAAAAGGAAGGATTTATTATTTTTCCCACATCACATGAAAATATATGATAACCTAATTTCAGATGATACTAGAAGAATTTAGGACCCTTGAGGTTTTTTGGGGGCTCCTCTTAGTCTCACAGGGACGAAACTGATTATTTTTGTCTGCCTGGCCAATTGGAGTTTTGTAACAGGTACAGAATAAAAAGGAAGCAGCAGTCTCATTTGTCTGCTTAACTGTGGAGCTAGATTTGATCCCCAGAGTAGGTCCTGAGCTCTCTTTGTGCACTGGAAGAGGAATTAAAAAATGTTTACTTTGATTCTTCTTGTTGCTCTGCTCTTAATTCTGTTTATCTCCCCTGCTTCATTTCTTTCCCATTACATAAAGAAAGATATTGAAGAAGTTGGGAAATAGCACCTTATGGATTCTCGGATCTTCTGTGGGGTCAATGATAGGATAGCAGTTCTTGGTTGCTGCACAGGCTTGAGCCATGTGAGCTGACTGGAAGCATTGGTGTAGGTTGTAGTGTGTGTATGTCTGTTCGTACTAGACCAAGGTTGAAACGGATACTTAAAATAAATGTCTGAAATATACTGATAGAGAAAAGAAGTGATAATACTTGAGAATCTTCTCAAATTTTCACTTTTCTTTCTGTACTGTGTTTCTTGTGACTTTCTCGTCTTTCATTCTTGACCTAGGTGGGCTTACTCACTGTCTTATTCCTGTGTTCTCTGTCCTGTCCCCCTTTTCTCTGCCCTTGTTCTTTGTTTCCTGCTTTTTTTTGAACAATGTGTTGCATTTAGTGTTTACTGGATATGTACTGTTGTATAACTTTTTTTTTTTAAGAGTAAGAATTCAGGATTTTAAAGCACAAACTCTTCCTTCACTGGACAAGATGCAGCTGTTCTCTAGTTGAAAAGAAGGTTGGGCTGCAACTCTGCACCATGTGCTTGTATGTGTGTTGTGTGCCTTCATGCAAATACAGTGCTGTGCAGTACTGATGGGAGGGATGACACACTTTTTAGTACTTTATTTTCACATGTGATGATTCCACAGATATTACAGAAAAGCTCTGAGCTGTGCAGCAGCTTCACCCTTTCTTTCTTCTCCATGCCTGTTTCTGTGTGCTGAAGCTCTTCTCAAGGGAAAAAATGTAGATTCTAAGACAAGCAGTTGATATGGAAGAGACTGCCCCATGTAGTTAACTGGGACAAGGCTTTAAGCAAATATGAGCTGTTATGACACTGCACAGCACTTGATGTTTTGAAAAGATTGTCTTGTTGTGACTTGTAACAATATGCATTTTTTGCTGGGAATACTAGCATAGTGTAAATCTGGCAAGAGACGGTCACGAAAATCAGTGGGTTTTCTTTAGAACTAGTAGTAGTAACCTTTCTCACTTCAGGAATTTCTGAGGGGCAGGATCAGTATGTTGTACATGTAAACGGTAGATATGTTGACTGGTTAGGAGAGAATTGACCCACCTTGCCTTCTGTAAAAGCAGGTTTCTGTAGTACTAACAGTTGCTCTTTAACAAAGTAATTTGCTGATATTTTTGACCTATCTTTTGTAAAGATAGCACCATGCTGCAGGAGGCAACCGTAGGTCTGCTTTTTTTCTTACATCAGTTTTCTAACAAAAAATGTTGCTGCCAAACATGCTGATCCTAGAATTCAATTCCTTGCTCCAAAACATAATAGTATTTGATTCCACCTCAATGCGGGTGTTCAGACCAGAAGCCACTGTCTGAGATCTCGGTATCTTGCTTCCTGACTGTGGGAGATGGATAGCAATCTAACTGTGACCTCCTTTTCTTAAGATCCTGCAAAAAAAAACCTCAAACAAGCTCCAGCCTTTTGTTTCCATAAATACACCATCTAATGACTTTTCTGAAGGATGATCCTTGTTATGTTTACCACATCTGTTTCTGCCTTTCTTTTGCAAGTGCCTCTGAGCAAGCATTATGTTAAGTGACAAACTGATGAGTAGCAAAGCAATGTGTTCTGTTTATGACAGTACTATCTCTTCACATGAGACACTTCAATATGAAAATGCATTTGCAAATCCAGAAGTCTTGTTCAAACTGTCACTATATTCTGTTTAATACAGAAGTCTAGATCTGTACTTGAAATAGATTCATGCTTGCAAAACCAGGAAAACGTGGGTGAGTTCCCATGTCTGTCTTGCTCAGGAGGGAAGAATTTTTAGAAGGGAAATATCCAATAACTTTGTGAGAAAAGTTAAACATTAAGAGAAGCCTTAGAGGATTTAGTAAGCAGTCAGACTTTATTCTAACAAGACATTGGTTAAAGTAATTACAGTTTGAAAATGTATTTGATTAAACTTGCTCTTTAGCTGTGTTAGCGCGTGTCAAAATATATTTTTTAACAACACCTGTGATGATTTTATTTTTTCCCCCTATTAAGAATTTATCTATTTATCTAAATTTTTTCCCATCTAGTCCCTATGTTGTCAAGTACTATGGCAGCTATTTTAAGAACACAGATCTGTGGATTGTTTTTGGATATTTTGGGGCCGGGTCCAC